CTGATATGTACCTTATATATCTATTGAAGTATAAAGTAAAATAAATATCGAGAAAAGTGTTTGTATATACACAACAAAAAAACAAAATATCTTGGCAAAAGTATCTTTACATAAAAACTACTCAAACATTAGACAGCAGACCAGGAGATATTAGAAGAGCAATCTTGTTTTTTGTACGATTTGTGCAGGACAACCTGCACATATTCCATTGAAACGTTCGCAAATGTTTTACATTAGTTTTTGACAGAAAATGAGTTGCAGTATAGTTTGCCTGAAGGAGATAAATTTTCTGTAGTGTTTGCAAGTTGCAACTCTAATTGCATTGCCCTAAACCACAAACTGGGATAGATTGTTTCTGAGTTTGACGTGAAAAGTTAAGTAAAAAATTAAAGGAAAATATTACAAGTACCTAAGTAAGAAGAAACTGAATTCAAAGTTTAAAATCATTCTCAGTGGTTTTCGTCCATTAGGCAATAATGACTACAGCATACCTGAAAGACATCATTCAAGAACGACGAAAGGCTTATGACAAAATAATTCAGTAAAACCTCTCTTAAGCTAACACTCTGTGTTAAGAGTATATATAACCCATCAAATTATATAACTAGTTATATACTCTAAAAAGCTTTAAATACTCTTTATATAAACATAAAGAGTTATAAATAAGTTATAAAGTTTTAAGTAACTACAACATTCTAGAAAAATTAAGTACCAAAAAGGCGTATATGAGTCTTTCAAACACTGATATCTGTCGATATGACTGAAAAGAACAGGGTTCACTTAATATGAATCCCAGCGCACAACGGATTTGAGGGGAAACAAGAACGCAGATGAGCTCTTCAGAAAAGGAGTATCCTCATATTATATTGGGCCGCAACTATTCTGCTGTCCTTCATGCAGATTTTTCAAACTTAAAATTAATGAATGCTTGAAAAGAGCAGCTCAGACTGATTGAGTTAATGTAATTGCCTGCAGCAAAGTTAAAGAACTTGTGCCGAATCGATTAAAACCCAGAACGAGGAAGCTTCTAATGTTGAACAGAAATGGCATCCGACTTAACACATTGTTTCTCACGACGAAAACCATATTGGTATTACAAGAGACGATAGTTACAGATTTTTTTACGAAAAAGAGGTAACAGCAGAACACATTCTGTGTCACCGTGATAGTCTCGCCAGACTCAGACTTCGGTACTTATTAACTGCCTATCCACTTATAACGAAATTAGACAACATCTTTCCAAAGGACATAATGACGTTTTTAACTGCGTAAATGGAACTAAAGTGAGTTTATTACAAGAACCCTCAAAGAATATAACGACGTAGTGACAAGTTCCCAACCCCTTTAAAATCTAATTTAATCTGTCGGTATTGTAAAATAGATATTTAAAACTGAGACAACAATCTGTGTAAATGCCTGGCACTACTCAGAAAAAAGCTGCGCCACTTAAGTAGTATTTTTAGACGTCTATAAAAAATTTGGAACAATAAACCCTAAACTGTGCTTAAATTTATCGAAAGGCTAAACATATACGGTTAATAAACAAGGTTACGCTAAATAGATCTATTGTTAAATAATATTATTTTTAAACTACTTCGGTATATGATATATACTGCTACTTATTAGCAGTTAAACTTTCATAACTTAAAGCACTACTTTGCAAAGAAAAGGTTTGACTTATGGAGACTTCAAGTTAAAGAATTTTTTTATAATTCTATGTAATTTACTCTCTGAACCCTGTTGTATTCTATTTAGTTCGAGATGATTTTAGTATGGAGATGATTTTTCAAAAAGTCACACTTTTCTCAATTTGTTTATTTTTTTTAATTATCTATTCAAAATAATTCAATTTAATAAATCTTTATTTATACTTAGTTCCATAGCGGAGTGAAAAATTAAAAATCTTCTGAAGTTTACTACGTTTTGAACTGATAGCTTTCTTGGAATTTTTAAAGAGAGCTACTATAGGAACTGAGAAACAATTATAAAGTCCTAATTAATTATAAAAACTTATTTACCAAGAGTAAGGATGAGAACACTTTTATGAATAAGAACAAAGTTTCTACTACAAAGGATATGTCTAAAGATCAGTAGATTAAAATGTTAGAATATTTTTAAAGAGAGTTTTATCTTTACTCTTAATATTAATAACATATTAATATTATATAATAATTATATTATATTAGATATATTGTATTATATTATCAGATTAGATATCTTTAACAAATCCAGGAACTTAATAATTGATTTTATAATAAAAGTGTGACAATATCATTACAAAATAAATAATAATTGATGTAAAATGGATTCTACAAAAATATTGACTTTAACTGAAGCATACTAAGAAATATTATTTTAGATAAACTAAATGTCGTAATTCCTGTAAAACGTTTTTACAAACATTCTCCATTATACCAAATATATCACCTCAATATTTTCCACCAAACTTTATTTATAAATTTGTAAACTCTTATAGTTCTCGTTATTGAAACAAAGACATATTATTTTTTGTGATTCTGGAGAAATAAAAATTATTGTCAAACACTTATTTAAAATGGCACAAAATATAAAATATCTAGGGATAGTGCCTAAGAAAAGTTACTTCATGAGTGATTCATGAAAGATAATAAATACCTAATAGTGGCATTTCGCTTTTTTAAAATTACTACAATATAGATTGTTATCAATTTTAGATATATCTAATAATGATTAGTTCAGTATTAACATAAGGCTGTGAAACGTGGGTCTTAAAAGCAAATAAAGCAATGTGATTGCAGAAAACTCTTCAGGTCCATATAACATATAACATATAATAATACACATCGTATATGCTTTTATCATAAACGATAAACACCAGAATATCGTTGGATTTATGAAATCATTAAGAATTCGTTCTTATATATATATAACTATTGTTATATAAAAAATAAAAGAAATTTTTTAAAGCCGTCGGCAAAGTAGTAATAGAAGATAATATTTCTGAATATGCAATGCATACAATCATAACCGCAGCAGTTCAAGTATTTTATTTTTGTTAAATAATTTAACAATTTTGATACAAATTGGAATAATTAAAAGTCTAATATGTATATCAATTAGTTTGTAAATTCCTACGGAGCATTTAGAATGTAAGTACATATATAGAGATATATGATATTGTTGTATCGTTGTTAAAATTTTCGAACTGAAAAATTTTAAAGCATTGTTTATAGTGAGAGTAACAGTATAAAATTACGTTTGAGTAGAATATCACGATACCACGAGGGTTAGGACCCCATAGCTTTGACTGTCCTGACCAATTAAGGTTAACCTCTTTAGTGGGAGTATCATGGTGGTTGTGGTGAAAAGATATACGAATAAAATGACTATTCATTACTTTCATTTGATGTGTAGTTGTATTTTACCGGATGTCGGATGCAGTGCTCCGAAGAACAGCCAAGGTGTTAGATAGGCCTCGTTCGCTTTCTTGGAGAAAACTATATACACACGTAAAGCTTCAATTGATTACAGCAGAAATCCTTGGAATTCTGATAGGAACGTTTGTTGTTTTATTATACGGATATATGAGTTCAACCTAACTGTATTATTCAAAGTTCTCGCACCAAAATCTTTTTACTCGACAGACTATTTACTGTTCAAACAAGATTTTAAATTGAAGTATACTATTTAAATGCATTTAAAAAATCGTAATAAACGCATCTAACGCAAAAACGCATCTAACGCATCTAACTTACGAACGCATGCAACACAAGTACCCATTTGATGCAAAATCGTAACTGACGTAAGAACGCATTTAACGCATAAAGGTTCTAACGCAAGAACGCATTTAACGCATAAAGGTTCTAACGCAAGAACGCATTTGACGCAAATTAACAACTACCGCGTTTGACGCAAAAACGCTGCTAACACAAAAACGCAATTAACGCATTTTCCTGTATTCGTAACAACGACAATATTGGCAAGCCTATTGGAGGAAAAAATCCACACTAAGGAGAGCCGAAGGTCATACGGACAATAAATCAAATTAAATTTAAATTTTTAATTTTAATCCTTAACATTTTTTGATTGTTAAGGCGATCATGCCATGCCAACGTATAAAAAGTAAATATTTTCTTTTAATTATTAAATATTACAACAACAAAAAGTGATTTATTTGCTTAGTTGCTGATGATGTCCTATAGGTGTGTTGTTATGTTTGTTGTTGTCGTTGTAAATTCAGTTTATTTTTAACTTTATTTTGTAAATGTTTTCATACTGAAAGTCAATTGAGTTTGTAATTTTTATAATTAAATTGCTAAAGCACTAAAATTGAAATCGAAAATAATAACAGAAATTAAAAGCACTCTAATTAGAAAGTACAAAACAAAAAAGATGGAAAAATAAAAGAAAAATATTATTAAATCCACAGCAATGTAGCAACAACTAAACGCACAGTGAAATCCATACAAAAAGTATGGAATGACCTCTTGTAAATGACAACTTCAACCACAAGAACAACAACAACAACAATGTCAGCACTAATAATAATAATAACAACAACAACAATAACTGTGCAGAGCTTTAGGAAAAACGCTATGGCAAGAACAACAACAGCAATAATGTGCACGCATTTAAGAAGTACTACAACAACAACAACAACACCAACCACATTACAGCGGCGGCAAAAATAAAACAGGCAAAGCAAAAAGCAAAAACAAAAAAAAAAGAAAGGAAATAATTTCTAATTTATGGCATTTAACTAAATTGTATTCAATGAATTTGCCGTGTTTTAATTCTGAAGTAGCATAGCAAAAAAAACAAAAAAACAAAAAAACAAAAAACTAAAATTATTAATAATAAACGGAAGTATAAAAATAGAAAAAAATTAATAGAAATAAAATGTAAATAACGAATGGAAACAGGATAACAAAAGTGTGGAAAGAAACTATATATAAATATTTACATTTTAATGTGATTTTTGCACGTTTTTATGTTTCACAAATTTAATCTATAAAACTCACAGGATACGTAGCGGCAGCGGCGGCAATAACAGCGGCAACGGCAAAGGCTATGCGACGACGTAGTATCAACGATAACGGCAACATCAACGGCAACGGCAATGGCAAAGAACGTAAGTAGCAGGTGATAATCCACGAAATGAAAGCAAGAAAAATAATGTAACAACAACAATCACACAAACTGGGAAAGCACTGCAGCAGTTGCAGAAGTCACAGCAGACACAAGACAGGACAAGACAGGACAATGAGGCGAAAATTTCTGCTTAATTTTCTCGTTTTGTTTATTTATTTATTTTTGTTGTTTTCTCTTTTTGTCGCTTTAAACACTTAAACTATTTATTTTGATTTTTTGCTTAGCATTTGTTTACCTTTTTTTTTAATAAACACTTCGCACACAACTTATTTTTTGTTTTGTTTTTTGGTTAGCTCAGTTATTAATGTTTAATAATTAATAAAATTTTGTGGCCTTGTTTTTTTTTTTTTTGATTTCTTCAGGCAGAAAACTTTTTTTTCACATATTAAGCAAAATTTTGCGCCTATAACATATACGGCTTTTCACTTTTTTGTGTTTGGTTTTTGTTGCTGTTGTTGTTTTATTGTATGTTTCTTATTTACTTCTTGCGGCTTTCGGTTTTTCCAATCACGGCGACTTTAGCTACTTCCTGGCCGTTGTAAAATTACACGGAAAAAATTGTACACTTTTATGTTTAATAGCACACCGCTTCCTTGCATGAAATTTCTCTTCCTTTTCTTTATTTATTTATTTATTTCCATATATATTTTTTTTGCTTTAAATTTTACGTTTCTTGAACGCAATGCGCCTTTATCAATGGCTTGCGTTTACTTCTACGTAAACTGTATTATTAAATTGCCTTTGTTTTGCTATAAATTATTTATGTTTGATTTACATTTACGCGGCGCACACGTTGTTTTTATATTTTCTATTACACATAATAATTATTTGATATTATACTTTGATATGTTTTTACCATTTCTTTTTAGATACTATTTTTTTTTGTTGTTATTTTTGCTCTTCTCCCGTTTGAAATCGCATGAGTAAAAACTTTGCGTATTCGTAATATAATCCTTCGCTATAAAGCAATTTCACTTCCAATATAAATATTTTACACTGCGAGCGAATACACTCTTCTACTGACGACGTTCAAATTCTGACTGAAGTTTGTTTCAATGGAATTTCGCCGCAAACAATTCTTCTGCTCTTTTTCACATGCATTTTTGTTTATTTTTTCATTTTGTTATTGCTTGCCATTTCTAGTGTTGCCACTGTGTTCGCTTCAAAAACATATGTTGGCAGAGTGTTTTTGGTAGGAAATATTTTTGTATGGAAAATTCATTTCGTATGGAAAAGTTGCGCACAAATTTATAATAAAAATTTTAAATGAACATTTCTGTTTGTTTTGTAGTTTCATCAATGCAATTTAATGTTAAATAAAGTGCATTCAATTAAAATTACATGAAAATTGCCTTATCAGTTGTTGTTATTTTAAACATTTGTTTTCTCGTCTGTTGTTCTTGTTCTGCCCGATTGCATTCAGTCGCTGTGTATTGCTTGCTTTTAACCCCAGACGACAAAATCAATAGCCCGACAAACGGGGGGTGTGCGTTGCATGTATGTTAACCATAAAAACACACAAAGGCATCCAATAATAACAATAATAAAAATGCAATTGAATAAAATTGCAGCTTTTAAATTTCTGTTTAGTTTTCGTCAAATGTCCAATGATTTAAAAAAGTAAAAGTAAGCGTTTAGCCAAATGTGAATGGTGAATATAATATTTCTGTCATGGCGGTTATAGGGGAGTATGTTAGAAGTGTTTTTAATGCTATATGTTAGTAAAAATGATCTGTCAAATATTTTATACAAAGACTGAAGGCCATAAAAACATAATACAGTAGAATCCGAACCCGTTAAGCCTAGGTAAATTTGGTTAGTTGGTTGGTTGGTTGGTTGCAGGCAGGCTATTAGATAACTTCCATGTACCTCAAGTAGCGATTTTTCGTTGTTTTGCTACCAAATTCCTAGCAAAAACTCTAGTATGGAAGAGTAGAGACTAAATACATCTCGCCTAATTTAGATAATATAATAGGTCTTTCGTCTTCACCGTTGTACAGTCCGATAAATTATCAAAGAAGTATCTTACTAAGAACCTAAATTTTCTGAACGCCAAAGCCGAGCATTTACAGAGAAAATGTATTTTGGGTTCTGTTTTCTTGCGGGTTTCCACAACTTTTGCAGTGAGGATTAAGGGAAATGCGCAGTCAATTTCTTTCCCTCTTACTTTTTTCCCTGACTTGTCTCCAATTTTGGCTTAGATGTATTTGTTGTATAAATACTAAGCCTTCTTTATTCCAATGTCTGCTAATTCTTTGATAAAGTGAATGATATTTCAGCTTTTAACTTTTATAGTCCAATGACTGAAATTTGTCCATTTTGCATGCCTAAAATGTGGTTTTAGTAAGTTCAAGTCTTACATTTTCTTACATGCAATGATTTTCACCTTCCAGTAATCAATTGCTCATTAGATCAAATCATAAATTAAATGATAATAAGTAAAATAAAGTGTATAAAACATAAATGAGTATATGCATATAATCTACAAATGTGATATATGTCACTAGATTATGAATTAATTAGTAGTCCATCCGAACTACGGATTACAAAGGAAGAAAAGTTGCCTGAGATTCGGACTAGCTTTGATTTTATAAGTCATTAATGTTATTAATTGCATATTGACAGAATACCAATTGAATTACATTTATTTAATTAATGTTCACACTATCTTAATTAGTTCAATTAGTGCTGAACTTTTAGCTAGACCTTTTAACACATTTTTACTATATCACTAACACAAACCACTTTCTCTTTTCAGACAAACTAATACTAATACGCATAAATGTTACCAAAGAACAGACAGTGTGAACGCTAAGTTGATTAAATGGATTTCACGAATAATTTCTGTGTAGCATTTTGGCAGAGGATCTAAAAAACTGATTGAAATCTACAGAGGCCTTATACGTGTTGATATAAGCTATTTATTGAGAAGGTTGTTTTTTGATTTCCAATCGATGACTTGAATATTGTTTTTTGCATTCAACTTCACACATAAGCGTAAGTCAATCTTATAATCATCCACTAAAGTGATTATGAATATGGTATTAGATTTCTAAGTCATTACGTCAATACATGGAATAGAAATACATGTGCTTTGTTTAACTACTAAAAACTTAACTAAGCAATAGAGATAGATACCGGGACTTCAGTCACTTAACGATTCGTAAAACATATTTAAAAAAAAATATTCAATAGCTACTCATTTAATTATTTCCCAATGAACTAATTTAGTATAAAATAATAATAACTTAAAATAGATCAAAGTGCTTCATGCAATCACTTAAATATGGCTATATGGTATGAAGAGGAGTATAAATTTTGAAGCCATTCATCTATTAGATTGATAACATTCATTTAATAACCTAAAATTAGCATTTTATGAAATAGTATTTCTTTGCATTAAGCTGTCATTATTTTTAGAATATTGGAAGTTGATAAGTTTTTATATATTGTAAATGTTACAAATGTTATAGATGTAATAAATTTTATAAATGTTATAAAAATGTTATCAGTTATAAAATTTAAACTGAATTTTATTGCAAAAAGACTTCGTATGTACTCGTATACCTCAATATTTAATAAACTTATAACGAATTCCAAAGGTTTTAACTCAGTTTATTTGGAAACAAGTATTAACTAAAGTAAAAACATTTATAAAATATATATAATATATATAATAATATATATAATAAAATATAAAAATATTTATAAAATATATGTAATATATATAATAAATATATAATAAGTATATATATACAATATATATAAAAAAATATTTATTTTTATTAATATTTGAAGAAAGGTCATTAATTTAATTTTTCTCCTAGTTTGAGGCCTGTTAATCCATGACTTTTCTTTGGTTTACTTGTAATTTTAAATTTACACTAAGTAAATAAATAAATAAATGTAATTTTTCTTCCAAGAAAATCATTCCAATCAATTAAAATAAATTTAAGGTTCGTGGTTCTTTTTCCGAAAGAACAGTTTGGCTTTGTAAACCTTTGATTAATATTTTTTTGAATAAAAAAGAATAACTCCATCTAATCCTAACTGTGGCTATATTTCTTAGAACAATATATATATATATACACATATCATATTTATATAAATATATCTGGAATACTTCTTTTCAACCTATTTCTTTCCGAATGTAATAAAAATTGTGCAAAGTTAATCCCTTATAAGTATGGGACCATAGACCTCCCGAACAAATTTTTACCCAAATGATCTTATTATGATTTCCTTAATAGGTATTGTGTAAGGGTCTGCACTATAGAACGAAATGGATACTCGTACGAGACGTTTAAAGCGTAATTTTCGTTTTTACATACTCATCATTTTTTAGTAAGAAAACGAGCATGAGCATATATGGTAGACTCTTTCAAAGGTATATAGCTACGTTCTTTCTTAGTCGAACTGAGCGTAAGCATAAATGCTTGACTTAACTGATAACCAATGCGTCACATTCAATTAATGTAAGTGTTTAGAGTTCATTTTTCTGGATAAGTTTATATCAGATCCATATATTAAGAGTTTGAAATACTTATCGATTTTTATTTTTGCTATTCTGTGCATAGTAAGTTGCAAATCGTAGGTCAACGATTTGTCTGTTTTGGTTTTCTAATTTGAGTTTATAATGAACTCCATACATATTGACACATAGTTGACTATGTATTTAGTTAGTTAGACATATGGTAAGTAGGTAAATTTGGTCATCAACTATTATTTATAGAAAACCTATATATAAGACGCATAGTTATAGTTCTAATAAACAGAAATGTTAAACGTTGAACCATTGTCTCGATAGTACAAATTGTAGTACCCTTGATAGGGAATGATCGGTATTCCATTGTCGTTAAACGGTTCATAGTAATATTATAGAACTAGAAAAGATACTTCATTGTATGATCTTTGATCCTGTTCCTCAATACCGGATCAGGAACTTTTGCTTTAATTATGCTTTGATAGGAATAGAAAAGGTTTTCCATGATTTGATTCTTAAACTTTTCTCAACACTGAAGTTTCTGTAGTAGTTATTGGATATAACATCCATTCTTTAACATATCGACTGATACGAAGGTGTATAATAATAATAAGTACTACAGCGACAACGATTTTATTGTCTCACATTGAAGAGGCTTCCTCTACGATTTTTTAAGATATTATTTTGCTCAGATAAGCCATGCGTGTGAACAAGATGT